TCAGCCTTATAAAAAAAGTGTAGGCTCTTTTTTTGAAAGTCCTTAAGTCTATCGGTACTAAAAGATCGTTGGTGGTAGTCGCTTGCTTCCATGATATCATGTTTATATCATAGAAGGAAGCGCCTACCATGTATGAATATAATGTGTATAATTAAAGAAAAACAAGCAATCAATATTTAAATACATGAGCGTCAAACTTGTGATCTGCAAGGAGTTGGAAGAGTCCAAAGATTAGCGAGCTACTCGAACCACGATGAGCCTTAAATAATATGGTTTTAGATAAAAAAAATTGAAAGAAGTGACAGGCACCGGCAACGCACCGGCAATTCCCCTAATATTGCCGTTGTTCCTAATGTTAATAAATATTACCGTTGAATTTCTATTGGAACCACTTCATAGCATCTTACTTCGTTAGGCAATTAGTTAACCTCACTTTACTAGTTTTGCCTTTTCCATCTTGGGATAGTTCAATGTGACTCATATTGAACCTGACTATACTAGGACAACATGAAATTCAAGACCAAAAATACCTGATGGTATGTTAATGCTGTAGCCCATAGACATCTACATTTAACCTCGATTAAGAATCAAAATGATCTGCATTTTGATTCTTAAACGTTGTCACCCCTGAGGACTAAGATAGAATGCCTCAATTCCATTAAAACGGGTCTCCAGTTCTCTACATTCACCAACAAAGCAGCATTATGCTGCTACTTTACGCTGGTATGCTGATAAAGCAAGGTCCTTCCCCGGTCGAGATGACCCGTTTGTGCTATAACCATAATAATAATAATAATAATAACCAGCGGCGTAGGGAAGTGACGACCCCATCGCCCGCTGACGTAACAGTTATGTGACAAAACTGCTACGTCGGCGCAGTCAGTCAGCATCCTGCCAAGAGGTGTGAGCGCCGTGCCTAGGCAAAATTGTAGGTGCAAAGGTCCGTTTGTGCATATGACCCAACCACGAAACGGTGCCGGGTTTGGGCGTCTCCCGTTATTTGGCGCCCATAAAATGGATGATGGCACAAAGAGGAACGCGCATAGGGCCGCTGCCTGGGGGTCGCCGGGGCGCGTCTGGAGCTGGCGCTGGACGCGGCAGCATGCGGGCCGCCAGCCGAGCGCGAGGAGCTGCACGATCACTTAGCAGCCCCTCGCATCCATCATCCCCACCAGAAGGCTTGGTGTCGGCTGGGTCTTCTCGGACTCAGCAAGCGGCACCCGCCGCTGGTGGAGCACGTCGCATGCGTTGGACAAAACCTATGAATGAAAACGCATTGCGGGCGTATTATAGGGCGAAAGGGGAAGAAACTGTGGGAATAGCGTATAGGTCTCGGATGCATTGCTTTTTTGCTGAGCTGGAGCCTTCTACCCCCGTCACGGAACAAAACCTGGCAGACCGAGTTCGGTACATCATGCGCTCGAAAATATTTGATGATGCCGAACTCGGACGACTACGACGTGAGGCTATTCCGTCGTCGAATGAATCGGCTATGGCTGGAGATGCAGCTCCACATTCGACAGACCAGCATCCACACGTGGAAGCCGCCCTGGATCTTCCCGTTGTGGTTGATTCGAACGACGATGAAATAGTCTCCCACGAACTAGAGAAAATGAGGAGTATACTGGAAGAGGCGATTTTGGAAACGCGCAGCACCCCTATCGAAAATCGACCGCGACTTCCCCCGCATACCCCTAAGCAAGCGAAATCGGGCTGTCGTGAGGGCTCTTAACCCAATGCTGGTGACCTATTTGGAAGCCAGCCGGGACCTTTGCGAGACGGACTCAATTCTCTTTGGCGCCGCAGTGGCAGTTTGCCGTATTATTGGCGCCAAACTTCCCATGGCTGGACGCGCTACTACACAAAGTAGCGCCATCCCAGCCTGGAGAAAAAGAATCGAGGACCGTATCGCAAAGGCAAGGGCCCTTATCGGCAGACTGACAAGCTTCAGGTCGGGTAATAATAGACCGAGGATTATGCGCACCGTTAGGATGGCGTTTGCTGGGACAAATATCAGTTTGTCCCAGCCGGATATCACGCAGAAACTAACGGAGCGCATAGACGACCTGAAGCAAAAGATCGCTGCTTGGGGGGAAGCGGATTCGACGATTTACCGACAGGTCAAGGCGGTTCAACCAGAATCGTCTCTTCCAGAGTGATCAGAAGAGGCTCTATAAATCATTGGAGCGGCCAAAGGTATGTGGAGCGGGCCAAGGACCGGATCAGGCAGACATTATCGCATTCTGGCGTGGCCTGTGGTCAGAGCCCGTAAACCACAGCGAGGGCCCTTGGATGGAAGTTGTGGCGAGCCAGGGTGCGAGTGTTACGCCTATGGACCCCATCACCGTAACGCCGGAAGACGTGGCTGAGGCGGTCCGTAGGGCCCCGAACTGGAAAAGTCCGGGGCTCGACGGGCTGCATCATTACTGGCTGAAGGGGTTCATAGTGTGTCACGCTGTGCTCGCCCGACAGTTTCAAGAGGCTCTCGACCAGAAGTCGCTCCCGAGCCTCTTCACTACTGGGATCACTCACTTGGTTCCTAAAGATCAGGATACCACAGACCCGAGCAAATACCGCCCCATCACGTGTCTACCCACCATATATAAGACACTGACATCCATTTTGAGCGCGAGAATCACTCGGCACCTGGAGCTAAACCAGTTGATGTCACGCGCTCAAAATGGATGTCGGGGCGGTGGTCGTGGAACCAAGGAACCACTCCTCATTGACGCGGTCATTGGCAAAGTGGTGAAACGCAACCGTCGGAACTTCTCTGCCGCCTGGATAGACTATAGAAAGGCATTCGACTCGGTGCCCCATACATGGCTAAAGAGGGTCCTCGAGCTGTACAAGATTGACTGTACAGTTAGAGACTTCCTCGAGCAGTGTATGGGGCAGTGGAGTACGATCCTTTGTCATCTGGGCGAGCGGATGATGGCTGCGGAGAACCACATAAGGATAAGAAGGGGTATCTTCCAGGGCGATTGTCTGAGTCCAATCTGGTTCTGCCTCTCTCTAAACCCTCTCAGTACCTTACTGGAGGGCTCCGGGAGGGGATTTCAGCTACGGAGAGGAGGGACAAAAGTGACCCACCTTTTCTATATGGATGACCTCAAGTTATTCGCCTCCAGTCGCTCCCATCTTATGGAACTGCTAAACATCACTTGTGAATTTAGCAGTTCCATTGGAATGGAGCTGGGGACGGATAAGTGTGCGGTCCTCCATGTTGAGAGGGGAAGGGTTGCTAACTCTGAGGGCATAGACTTGTCTATGCCCGTCAACTTAAGGACCCTTTCCGAGGCTGAAACATACCGATACCTGGGTATGTCACAGAACATCGGTATCGATGAGGCTGGTATGAAACAGTCAGTTTGCGACGTGTTTTATGCACGCTTGACCAAAGTGCTTAACAGCCTTTTGTCCGGTGTGAATAAGTCACACGCATATAATTGCTGGGTCATGCCTGTCCTCATGTATACCTTTGGCATACTCAGGTGGACTCAGACTGAGCTTAACGCCCTGGATAGAAAAGTCCGCACTACCATGACGTCCCATAGGATGCATCATCCGAGATCGTCGGTAATGAGGCTGTACTTGCCGCGAAAGCATGGTGGGCGTGGCTTTCTGAGCGCGCTCACCATGCATAATCGCGAAGTGTGCAGTCTCCGTCAATACTTCTTGACGAGATCGGATGATCCATTCTATAATGACGTCATTTCTAGTGATAAAGGGCTTACCCCTCTATCCTTAGCCAACGAGCAATGGCAGGACCCGGCAGTGCTTAGCATTCCCGACCGGGAGACCGTATGGAAGGAGAAGGAGCTCCACGGGAGGTACTACAAGGCTCTACATGAGCCCTTCGTAGATACAGTCGCCTCCCTCAACTGGCTACGTTTCGGTGACCTTTTCGGGGGAAACCGAGGGTTTTGTCTGTGCAATACAAGATCAGGTTATTAAGACCAACAACTATCGGAGATACATCCTAAAGGATGGCACCGTCGACGTCTGTCGAGCTTGTCGCCATCCCGGGGAGTCACTTAGGCATGTCATCTCCGGTTGTTCGGCGCTTTCTAACTCTGAGTACTTGCACAGGCACAACCTAGTAGCCAGAATTCTACACCAGGAGCTCGCTCTGAAATACGGTCTCGTGGACCGGAAAGTGCCGTATTACAAGTACTTGCCGGAAGCCGTGCTCGAAAATGACCGCGCCAGGCTCTACTGGGACCGGGCCATCATCACAGACAGGACTATTCTTGCGAATAAACCTGATATTGTGCTGATGGACCGGGCACAGTCAAGAATATTTTTGGTCGATATTACCATCCCGTATGACGAGAACCTCGTGAAAGCCGAAACAGATAAGCAATCAAAGTATCTGGACCTGGCTCACGAGGTGACCGACATGTGGGGTGGTATGCCGACCGAAATTATTCCTGTAGTCGTCTCTGCGAATGGGCTAATCCCAGTTAGCCTCTCTGGTCATCTGAGGCGACTGGGACTCCGTGACGGACCGCTCCGGGCTCAAATGCAGAAGGCGGTGCTCCTTGATACTGCCCGCATCGTCCGCCGGTTTCTTTCCCTTTCCCCCTAACCCTCGGCCGTTTGGTCTCCCCTGCCGAGGGCTTCCATCTGGTTGGGCTTTTATTTATTTATGTATTTTTGTATTTATTTTATTTTATTAATATTTATGTATATTTATCTTTTCATTTTCATTTATAATTATATATTTATACATCCCAACCAGATGAGAAAACTATATAGATACCCCACATAATAATAATAAAAAGGCGTAGGGAAGTGACGACCCCATCGCCCGCTGACGTAACGGTTATGTGACAAAACCGCTACGTCGGCGCAGTCAGTCAGCACCTTGCCAAGAGGGGTTAGTGCCGTGCCTCGGCAAAAATTGAAGGTGCAAAGGCCCGCTTGTGCACATGGCCTCACCATGAAACGGCGCCGGGTCTGGGCGTCTCCCGCTAAATGACGCCCTAAAATGGATGATGGAATCAAATGGAACGCGCAAAGGGCCGCTGCCTGGAGGTCGCCAGGGCGCGTCTGGAGCTGGCGCTGGACGCGACAGCATGCGAACCGCCAGCCGAGCGCGAGGTGCTGCACGACCACCCAGCAGCCCCTCGCATCCATCATCCCCACCAGCTGGCTTGGTGTCGGCAGGGTCTTCGCGGGCCCAGCAATCGGCACCCGCCACTGGTGGAGTACGCCGCATGCGTTGGACAACCCAGATGAACAGCAACGCATTGCGGGCGTATTTTAGGGCGAAAGGGGGAGAAACTGGAGGTTTTGCGTATCGGGCAAGGATGCATCGACTTTTTGCTGAGCTGGAGCCATCTGTAACCGTCACCGAGCAAAACCTGGCAGACCGAGTTCGGTATATCTTGCGCTCAAATACATTTGATGTCACCGAACTCGAACGGCTACGACGTGAGGCTGTTCCTTCATCGGGTGAAAATGCTGCGGCTGAGGATGCGGCGCCACAACTTGCTGAGCAAACGGCAAATGTGGATGCCGCCGTGAATACGCCAGTTGTGGTTGATTCAAACGATGATGGAACAGTCGCCCAGGAACTGGAACTAGAGCAAATGAGGAGTACATTGGAAGAGGCGATTGTGGAAACGCGCAGTACGACTCTCGAAAATCGACCGCGACTTCCCCGCTTAGCCCTAAGCAAGCGGAATCGGGCTGTCGTGAGGGCTCTGAACCCAATGCTGGTTACCTATTTGGAAGCCAGCCGGGACCTTTGCGAGACGGACTCAATTCTTTTTGGCGCCGCACTGGCAGTCTGCCGTATTATAGGTGCCAAACTTTCCACGGCTGGACGCGCTACTGGACAAAGTAGTGCTATCCCAGCCTGGAGAATAAGAATTGAAGAACGTATCGCAAAGGCTAGGGCCCTCATCGGCAGACTGATATGCTTCAGGTCAGGCAATACCAGGCCAAGGATTGTGCGCACCGTCAGGATGGCGTTTGCTGGGACAAATGTTAGTTTGTCCCAGCCGGATATAATGCAAAAACTGACGGAGCGCATAGACGACCTGAAGCAAAGAATCGCTGCTTGGGGAAAGCGGATTCGGCGATATACCGAGAGGTCGACACGGTTCAACCAGAATCGTCTCTTCCAGAGTGATCAGAAGAGGCTCTATAAATCATTGGAGCGACCAATAGTAAGTGGAACGGGCCCTGCACCAAATCAGGCCGACGTGGTCGCATTCTGGCGCAGCCTGTGGTCAGAGCCCGTAAACCACAACGAGGGCCCTTGGACGGAAGTTGTGGCGAGTCAGAGCGAGGTATTACGCCCATGGACCCCGTCATCATAACGCCGGATGACGTAGCTGAGGCGGTCCGTAGGGCCCCGAACTGGAAAAGTCCGGGGCTTGACGGGCTGCATCACTACTGGCTGAAGGGGTTCATGGTGTGTCACTCTGTGCTCGCCCGACAGTTTCAAGAGGCTCTCAACCAGAAGTCGCTCCCAAGCCTCTTCACTACTGGGATCACTCATTTGGTTCCTAAAGATCAGGGTGCCACAGACCCGAGCAAATACCGCCCCATCACGTGTCTACCGACCATATACAAGACACTAACATCCATTTTGAGCGCGAGAATCGCTCGTCACCTGGACTTAAATCAGGTGATGTCGCGCGCTCAAAATGGATGTCGGGGCGGCGGTCGTGGAACCAAGGAACCACTCCTCATTGACGCGGTCATTGGCAAAGTGGTGAAACGCAACCGTCGGAACTTCTCCGCCGCCTGGATAGATTACAGAAAGGCATTTGACTCGGTGCCCCATACATGGCTAAAGAGGGTCCTCGAGCTGTACAAGATTGACTGTACAGTTCGAGACTTCCTCGAGCAGTGTATGGGGCAGTGGAGTACGATCCTCTGTCATCTAGGCGAGCGGATGACGGCTGCGGAAAGCCGCATAAGGATAAGAAGGGGTATATTCCAGGGCGACTGTCTGAGTCCAATCTGGTTCTGCCTCTCTTTGAACCCTCTCAGTACTTTACTGGAGGGCTCCGGGAGGGGGATTTCAGCTTCGGAAAGGAGGTACAAAAGTGACCCACCTTTTCTATATGGATGACCTCAAATTATTCGCCTCCAGTCGCTCCCATCTTATGGAATTGCTAAACATCACGTGTGAATTTAGCAATTCTATTAGAATGGAGCTGGGGACGGATAAGTGTGCGGTCCTCCATGTTGAAAGGGGAAGGGTTGCTAACTCTGAGGGCATAGACTTATCTATGCCCGTCAACTTAAGAACCCTTTCCGAGGCTGAAACATACCGATACCTGGGTATGTCACAGAACATCGGTATCGATGAGGCTGGTACGAAACAGTCAGTTTGCGACGTGTTTTATGCACGCTTGACCAAAGTGCTTAACAGCCTTTTGTCCGGTGTGAATAAGGCACACGCATATAACGGTTGGGTCATGCCTGTCCTCATGTATACCTTTGGCATACTCAGGTGGACTCAGACTGAACTTAACGCCCTGGATAGAAAAGTCCGCACTACCATGACGTCCCATAGGATGCATCATCCGAGATCGTCGGTAATGAGGCTGTACTTGCCGCGGAAGCATGGTGGTCGTGGCTTCTTGAGCGCGCTCACCATGCATAATCGCGAAGTGTGCAGCCTCCGTGATTACTTCCTTGCGAGATCGGATGATCCTTTCTATAAGGACGTCATTTCTTGTGATAAAGGACTTACCCCTCTATCCTTAGCCAACGAGCAATGGCAAGACCCAGCAGTACAGAACATTTCCGACCGGGAGACCGTATGGAAGGAGAAGGAGCTCCACGGGAGGTTCTACAAGGGTCTACATGAGCCTTTCGTAGACACAGTAGCCTCCCTCCACTGGCTACGCTTTGGTGATCTCTTCGGGGAAACCGAGGGTTTTGTCTGTGCAATACAGGATCAGGTTATTAAGACCAACAACTATCGGAGATACATCCTAAAGGATGGCACCGTCGACATCTGTCGAGCTTGTCGCCATCCCGGTGAGTCACTTAGGCATGTTATCTCCGGTTGTTCGGCGCTTTCTAACTCTGAGTACTTGCACAGGCACAACCTAGTAGCCAGAATTCTACACCAGGGAGCTCGCTCTGAAATACGGTCTCGTGGATCGGAAATTGCCGTATTACAAGTACTTGCCGGAAGCCGTGCTCGAAAATGATCGCGCCAGGCTCTATTGGGACCGGGCCATCATCACAGACAGGACTATTCTTGCGAATAAGCCTGATATTGTGCTGATGGACCGGGCACAGTCAAGGATATTTTTGGTCGACATTACCATTCCGTATGACGAGAACCTCGTGAAAGCCGAAACAGACAAGAAAACAAAATATCTGGACCTGGCTCACGAGGTGACCGACATGTGGGGTGGTCTGCCGACCGAAATTATTCCTGTAGTCGTCTCTGCAAACGGGCTAATCCCAGTCAGCCTCTCGGGTCATCTGAGGCGGCTGGGACTACGTGGCGGACCGCTCCAGGTTCAAATGCAGAAGGCGGTGCTCCTCGATACCGCCCGCATCGTCCGCCGGTTTCTTTCCCTTTCCCCCTAACCCTCGGCCGTTTGGTCTCCCCTGCCGAGGGCCTCCATCTGGTTGGGCTTTTACTTATTTATGTACTTTTGTATTTATTTTATGTTATTGATATTTATGTATATTTATCTTTTCATTTTCATTTAGACATAGACATAGACATAGACATAGACATGCATTTATTCAGCAACTTACATTCATACAGTTTTGATACAGAAAATAAAATAATACATAAAAACATCAAAGATAAAAGTAAATAACAAAAAACGTCATAAAATGATCCAATTGCATGAGTGATGTGATGCTGAAAAGGGCACTGACTCAACATAATGCTATCGCAGGATTGCGGTAGCGTTGGTTTTCAGCAATGCCCATTGAGGTTGAACTCGCCTGCGAGGAATAGTATGTTCGCTTTATTTCTATTTTCGAGAAAGATGTTATCAAAATAATAAAATTTATAGTTATATATTTATAGAACCCAACCAGATGAGAAAACTATATAGATACCCCATAATAATAAGGCTCTACTGGGACCGGGCCATTATCACAGACAATACTATTCTTGCGAATAAGCCTGATATTTTGCTGATGGATCGGGCACAATCAAGGATATTTTTGGTCGATATTACCATTCCGTATGACGAGAACCTCGTGAAAGACGAAACAGATAAGCAATCAAATTATCTGGACCTGGCTCACAAGGTGACCGACATGTGGGTTGGTCTGCCGACCGAAATTATTCCTGCAGTTATCTCTGCAAACGGGTTAATCCCAGCCAGCCTCTCGGGGCATCTAAGGCTACTGGTAATCCGTAACGGACTGCTCCGGACTCAAATGCAGAAGGTGGTGCTACTCGATACCGCCCGCATCGTCCGTCGGTTTTTTTCCCTTTCCCCCTAACCCTCGGCCGCTTGGTCTCCCCTGCCGAGGGGCTTTCATCTGGTTGGGCTTTTATTTATTTATGTAATATTTTTTTATTTATGTTAGTATATTAAATATATATTTAAGTATATTTATTTTTTCCTTTTATATATTTATCCAGCCCAACCAGATGTGATTACTCTATCAATAACCCCCAATAATAATAATAATAATAATTTCTTTATTTGACACTTATAATTTCATACAACATCATTGAGCCCTGACTCCCGAACTAGAATACTCTGTATTTCAGGAGTCAGTTTCTTCCCATTGTGTGTGTGTGTGTGTGTGTGTGTGTGTGTGTGTGTGTGTGTGTGTGTGTGTGTGTGTGTGTGTGCGTGCGTGCGTGCGTTCGTGCGTGCATGTGGGCGTGCGTGCGTGCGTGCGTGTGTGCGTGCTAGCAGGAGCGTGGCTCTATCACGTAGAAATATAAGTAAATAGTCTTTGAATATTTTTAATCTACATATCGCCACATTAATAGATACTGTCCAGACAAAGCCGGGGCGGATCACTAGTTTGATGGCATAACCTTATTACTGTTCCATGTAGTAGCGATTTAAGAATATTCACTACCCCACATTATTTCGTGAGTGTCGTAAGAGGTGACAGTAGGAAACACATTAGGAGATGGGCAGCAGCGTTTTTCTATAACGACTAAAATTTAAAAAAAAAACTACGGTTGCCAATTCGCTTGCCACGCGTGGCAACTATGGCAAATATCCCCCTTATGAGGCATTCAAGGGGTAGGCCTATCTTCAGCAGTGAGCTTTAAAGTGCAAGTTCGGCCGCATATGGAATACTGTTCTCATCGCTGGGCCGGGGTAACCCAGTGCCAGCTTCTTCCACTTGACCGTATCCAGCGCAGAGCGATTCGAATCGTCGACGACAGAGTGCTTTTTGATCAGCCCGATTCACTGGTGCTGCGTACGAATGTTGCATTCCTTTGCATTTTCTATCGGATCTATCACGGGGAGTGCTCTGAAGAATTGTTCGGATTAAATAACATACCTTACGTTCATCCGTGGAAAATCTATGCGTAATTTTTAATACAATAACCGGTATATAAGTGTTTTTTATATGCGAAGACTATAGCACCCATCCAGCCACCCGGATAGCACAACATTTTCATGCGGCGGATTATGATGAAATTAGTCGAGAAATGTCAAATATTAATTGGGAAGACCATTTAAATCTAAACAATATTGATGTTGCTGTTGATAACTTATATAAAATTGTGCGTGATGTTATAAATAGGTTTTTCCCTCATAAAGTTGTTAAAAATAATAATAAATACCCAGTCTGGTTTAATAAGCGTCTAATTAAACTCATTAATAGAAAACTTAAACTTCATAAAAAAAGGAAAATTTATGGTAGGCAGTGCGATTATGACAACTTTTCGTATGCACGGCGTGATGTTAAAGAATATGAGGCTTTATGCTATGAACAATTTATTAAAGCTGAGAGAAATATTCGAGTTGACTCCAAGTACTTTTGGTTGTTCATTAAATCAAAGCGAAAAAGCTGTGATATACCTGATACTCTATACTTTGGTGATACACATGCATCGGAGGGTCAGACAATTGCTGATCTACTTAATTCATTCTTCCATTCTGTATTTGAGACGGAAAATAATAATTGTATAATTAATTGTGTTCACATTGATAACGTTAAAGTCGAAAAATATTTGAATAATCTCGAAATTAATAAAGGTACTGGGCCTGATGGTATTGTTACGCGCTCAAGTCGACGGACGTTCTGAACCGAAGAACTAAACTTCTTGAAGTTGAAACAGGTACTCTCGGTACCTTGCGCGTGTTTACTTTAATATTCTGGATATTTCGCTGCTAATTTATATAAA